AAAAAAAAAAAAAGTACAAATACCTACCAGAATTTACACTATAAAAATTAAAGGCAAGCTGCCCTGGCCAGTGTGGCTCAGTGGGTTGGAGCATCATCCTGTGCAACAACAGGTCGCCGGTTCGATCCCCAGTCAGGGCACATACGCAGGTTTCGAGTTGGTTCTCTGGTTGAGACGCGTGCAGGAGGCAACCAATCGATGCTTCTCTCTCACACTGATGTTTCTCTCTCCCTCCCTCTCCCTTTCTCTTTCTCCAAAACATCAATAAAAACATGTTTTAAAAAATCAAAGGCAAGTTTATCTGCATTATGTCATATCCTAAAAATAAACGGCTCCCTCCTTTCTCCTACCTGTCCTGATCAATGCAGTGAGTTCTCTGATGGAGGGAAAGGGGTTTGATAAGGTGCTGGCGGACCTGGCAGGTTTTGGGTTGAATTCTTGGGGTCACGTATGCTTGCAGTGCACCATACTGGCCTTCGATCGAGCGAACCTGACAACACGAAAAGGAGAGCGTGAGAATCACCCAGCAATGGCAGCTTCGCCTCAGTCTCTCCCGTCATATTTTGAAGAAAATAACGACATTCTATCAATCAACTAATTTTCAATCACCAGAGGGAAGGAAGATTTTAAAAGACTTTGGCAGTGGAAAGCAAAATTAACTCATCTATAAAAGTTACCCCACCACATATTTCCAGCTGATCTGCCTACATTTAGCAATGCTAGGGCATTCCAAAAGACACACACTCTCACACACTACCCTACCATATTTAAAAACGCAGGCGCACGCTGTACTTTATAATATTCACAGAAAAATGGTTAGAGTTTAGACATTCTTGTTGAAGGGATGAGTGAGTTTTTCAAATAAAATTTATATGGAATATTTTATTTTCTCAGAAATGGGGGTACAATAGCATAAAGCTGTTGTTATAAAAATCTACTGACAGGAAAAAAATGTTCCCAAGAACTTAACTCTTGATTTTCCATGAAAATAGAGAAGCAGACCCATAATCTATTATGACATATTTAGATGAGGAAATTCTTTTGAGCTATTTTGAATATGGCTGGTTGGCTATCCTGAGAGTTCAAAAACAGTTAACAGAAAACAGTAATTCACTAAACTGTGAAGACCTAATCCTAGAACAGCTGGAAAGCTGCCAGCTTCTCCCTCCTGCCCCCTTTCAGCTCCTCCCTGTTGAAATCCATGCAGTGATTGTACTCTCTCTTGTATTACAAAGATAGCTTCTCTAATCTGATATTTTAACTTACCATTTTCCCGGCATGTGAGGGGAAAAAAAAAAATTCATGTTTTACCTCAATGGGAAATGTAAACACAAGTTTAAAGCAAGAGTTTTTGCAAATGTTACACTGCAAATATTGCTCTGAGTGGGAAGACAGGAAAGATAAAAGGGAAAAAAATAATAAAGAATAAAAACACTGAAAGAAAATAAAAAATAGATCTGATAAAGCTATATAGGGTTTCTTTTTAAAGGGTAAGCTTACACATGCCCTTAAAGGGGAAGCTGCACATAATTTTTCCACAATAAAAGGTCATAATGTCTTCTCGGGCTACATAATTCATATTCATTATTTAAAGCATCCTAACAAGAAAGAAAAACTAGAATGAACATACAAGTAACCTGAAACCCTACCACCCAGAGGTGACACTATTGCTATTTTGACAGTCATACTTTCCTACATCTCTCTATGCAGAGGTACAAAAACAAATACATAATTTCACATAAATAAGTTTTAATTATATCATAAACATCTTTGTTTTTACTTCTAAGAATCACATTTTCCTTTATCACTGCCTGTCCTAATACTTTCACCTCCCCACCACTCCCGTCTGACTGAAGCCTCGCCCTGCTGTGTAACCTATCAAGCCAGACAGGTGAGTTTCTTCACACACCTCTTCATATTTATATCATTATAAATAATATATATACATATATAGGGGTTTTATCTGCATTTTGTGATTTTCATGGACTCCGCTCCATAACCAGGAATATATGGACTCATTCTTTGTCCCAGCTAATATTCCTTGAAATGAGTACGTAGCTATATAACCCACCATTCAATTATCACGTGTGCATTTTTTTAGGCCTACTTTCAAATTAACTGGCACCATCTTGCTCAGTAAAAATGTAATTTTAAATGTTTAATTAGCTCACATAAAATATGCTTAAATATATTCCTTTAGTAATAAACATATCCCAGTTTTCAATTTTTCTTTCAAAATACATGAAAGGGGACTTATGTGGACTAAAGTAAGTTGCTTAGAAAAAAATTACACTTCACTGAAACTTCCTTAACCAGGTGTGAAAAAACTGTGTAGCAGCATCTCTCTTGGAAAAAAAACACACACTCTGAGTCTTAGAAGATTAGCAACACCAGGAAAAATATTACAGTCTCAATTTTTCGATCATAAATATATCAAAAATAAAAAAATTTAAAATCTCATATTACAAATTAACTAAAATAGAACTGTGTATGAAAATCAATATTTAATTATAGAATTATGTTACTAAATTGTCAAAATACCTCAAAAGATTTTCTCTAGTATAAACAGGAATAAATGATATCGCCAGAATGCAAGCAGAAAAATCCAGGTAGTAGGAAAACACAGGGCAAGTTCTCAGATACTTCAACAACCAAATGACCTTATATGGACCATGACTGGATCAAACTGCAAAAAAAAAAAAATCGCCCTGAATGGGTGGCTCAGCTGGCTAGAGTATCATCCTGTACACCAAAAGGTTGCAGGTTTGATTCCCAGTCAGAGCACATACCTAGGTTTCGGGTTCAAGCACCGGTCAGGGAGTATGGGAGACAACTAATTGATGTTTCTCTCTCTCTCTCCCCCCTTCCCCTCTCTAAAATCAATAAAACATATTCACAAGTAAGGATTAAAAAACAACAGTGAAATGTGAACAGCAAATATTTGATGACACTTAGGAATTACTGTTTATTTTTCTTAGGTGTGATAACAGTCTTATGGTTATATATTTTAAAAAGAGTTACCTTTTAAACACATGTATCAAAATATTTACAAATGAAATGATAAAATCTCTTGCATTTGCTTTGAAATGATTTGGAGTGTACAGAAAGTATAAACGAGATTGCCACGAGTCCATCACTGCAGAAGCTGGACTCACTGCTTTTACATGTTTGAAACTTTCCATAATAGAAACTTAGAAAACAAACTTCCAGTTAGAGGAAATTAAGAACTGATAATTTTAGAGAAGGTGCTTGGTTAAGTGATAATAGCAGAGACAGTGGTCTAGGCTGAATTGAAACCTAAGAGATCATTACAAAGTCATTACTACAAAATGACTCATTTCAGGGAGAAATTTAACGCAAAGAAATGATACCTTATGTTGTAAGATATACCAATATAAAAAACAAAGTACAGACTTTCAAGTAAAGGTAATTTCAAGCACTTTTACCTTGAGCTCCAGCCTTGTGGTATTTGCCTGGCACCGGTAGGTGGCGAGAAGAAAGTTGTCGTTGGCCTGGGAAGTATTCAAAGTGAAGGAAAAGGGTGAGCCCGTGTTGTTAGCAATAGAAACAGCATCAACATGGTTACGCTTACTGAGCGCCTGTCATTTGGGTGGCACTGTGCTAAATGCTTTTTGCTTACTCCTACGAACAGCCTCTATGTGGGGGTTTTACTATGTAGGTTTTAACAAATGAAGAAACTGAGGCATGAGGGGTTGGGTAAATTTCCCCAGAGCCAGTTAAGTAATGAAACCAGAATTCAAATTTGTATCTTTGACTCTAAAGCTCAGGCTCTTTTCATCTTGAGACTCTATAACAATGTTCCAAAATACTGTTTTCTAAAAACTTAACCGATAGTACCGACTCCTAATATTTATAAAATAAAGACAAAGACATCAATGTTTGGTACAGAATAGCTCTGCTTTTCACAAATACTTATGAGGACTGAGAAATATCTCATCTCTATTTCCACCAAGTAGCACAGTACATGGCTTACTGTAGGAATTCAATACATGTTTGTTAAATTAAATTGCAGTGGTAACTTCAAGTATTGTAACTTCTTGAAATTAAATATTAAACTACTAAAATAGCATAAAATAGGACTGACCATATTTTGAAGTAAGTGGTGAGTACATGAAGATAATTTTACTACTCTTCTACTTTTGTATATACTTGACATCTCCATAGGTTTTTATAAAGCTTTCATTCGAGAAAACAGGTTTTAAATTAGTATGAAACACTCATTCCAAAGAATCCAGAGTGATGTAAATAAGGTTAATCGTTCATAGTAATTTAGGAATGAAAGGTTTTATGTGTATATTAACTTGATTTTTTAAATAATGATAAAAATGTAGGCCCTAATGTTTTGTTTTAATTCACAAATGGATGACAAAGCATATATAACACAACTGTTATATAATTTCTTATCAAGAAAAAAAGCTTTACTATGAAATTACATTACATTGAAAGTTATTCCCTAATATAGTATCAACTTTGTTCTTTATCTCCTTGTACTCCTCCCTTTTTCATGTGTAGAACTACCTGCCCACTCGTCACCATCTCCTGCTCGGGCGTGCTCTGCATTGCAGCCACTGCAGACCTAACTTCCCTTCAGGAGCCACGCCAGCTCGGAGTCTGCTAGTCTGCAAGCGGTTTAGTAGGGCCAAAAGCTCTGAGAGGATCTCATCCCCAGTTCCCTGCACACAGTATGTGCTCAATAAATGTCTGCTACATGAGCATTAAGCAAGATTCAACAAGCCCAGGAAAAGTGAGGGAAGACTGGCAAAAGGAACAGATCATGTTCAAATGCAGGAATGTGTAAAACTGTACAGTACTTTCAAGACATTAAGCACTTCAGCTGGGCAGAGCTAATGTTCGTGGAAGGGAAAGTAGCAGCTGTGGCCGATTAGTGGAGATGGAATCAAGAGCTGAACCATGGAAAGGTTTCTATGCCACAGCGAGGAATCTAAACTCACGTGCAACAGGGAACAAGGAAGCTCTGAAAGGTTTTGAGAAAGAAATGACACAGTGATGTCTGTATTTTAGGAAGACCTGTCTGGCAGCGTGCATCACAGCGGGAAGTGGGGCCATCCTGGCGACAGGGAAAGGGAACGAGCGGTTCCAGAAGCACGGTGAGGGCCCAGACGGCTAACAGCAGGGGAAGGAAGCAGAGCACAGGTAGAAGAGCGGGGGAAGGACTGGCAGGAGCTGGGGACTAATTGGATTTCACGGGTCAAAGGAAGGATCTAGGACAACACTCGGTTTCTGGATTATCTGAGGACAAAGAAAGAGCAGGAGCAGATTTTGAGGGAAAGGTTATTATAGGAGAAATGGATGAAGAAACATGGAACCCTCGTGGTGTCTGTAGGCTTTATTCAAAATCAAATAGAAGTGAAAGTGTCTTAAGAATTCTTTATATTTCTACTCACCTCAGAATCACAGCTGCTGAAGCTGACAACAGCAGAATTTTTATCCACGTCAAGTAAATCTATTGGAACATCACTCTACAGTCAACATTAAAAAAAAGGTTCAGACGGAAAACTACCATTTTTTCAAAGCCTATTTCCTCTAAGGGTTTTCCTCATGTTCATCCCTAAACCTGAGAGTGTGAATTCTCTTCATTTATATTTGATAATATGTACCTTCTAGAAAATAGATATAATAGAGAATAAATATTACGCTGACCCATTCTTTTTAAATTTGGAATATGGGAGGTCATAGAGTATCATCTTACTATCTCCTTAAAAGTAGAATCTTCCCCTGTGTGTCAGTGCTAAAAATGTTACCAGAGGCAGCATATAATCATATGGCCAATCTTACTATATCAGTTCATTTTTAACAATTTTAAATTCAGCTGTAACACAGAAAGATAATTTTTGGTCTCCTCTGGAAAGGCAGTTTCTTTTTTTCTTAATTTAATTTTTCAATTACAGTTTACATTCAGTATTATTTTGTACTAGTTTCAGGTACACAGCACAGTGGCTAGACAACCATACATTTTACAAAGCGTTCCCCTGATATTTCTAGTACCCACCCGGCACAGTACATAGTTATTACAGTATTACTGGCTGCATTCCCTGTGCCGCGCTTCACATCCCTGTGACTCCTCTGTAACCACCAATCTGAACTTCTCAAGCCCGGCACCTTTTCGCCCAGCCCCCCGCAGAGGCCGTCTCCAGGACCACGCCGCTCTACAGTGTCCTATGCAGATGGTGCTCCTGAAACTGCACTGCGGCAGCCCCAGCCAGCACGGTTAAAGATTTCTCCCTTTAAGTTTTGATTAACAATCTGATCTCCCCCACATCTTTTTAAACCTTGTCTTCTTCCTCCCCGTAGTCTTTTCTCATTTTCTGATTTTTTTTTTAATCATCTGCTTATTCTCCATTCATCATACTATCACCCTTTTCCACTTCCTGAGTATCTTCCAACTTAAAGAAAAAAATGATTAAATATATTGAAGAATGACGTTGTATGTTACTATCCTTAAATTTCACCTTCGGGATTATCATGTTTGCCCAATGACCTATGTAAGAACTGATAATGCAAGATGTACTGCAGGCTAATTATTTTAGTATTTGAAACTTAGAAAAAAGTTCAAATAAGGGTATTAAATTCTGGAGTTTTCTAAGTCCCAGCTCTGTTAAGATTCTCCTAAAGATTAGCCGAAGTACAAAATACTTAATATCCTTTCTGACCCATCCTCAAACTTGAGTCCTTCAGTCTTGTGTTTAATATGTACAGGATAAATAAAAGTAAAGCTATAATTCAGATGATCTATGAGCAAACTGGTAATCAAATGGAAGGCTAAGTAAGCCTTTAAAAGTACTACCTAAACTACATATAACATTTAAAAGACAAACATCACTATCTAAACTAAAAGCGTTCAATAATTAGCGAGTATGACTGGTGCGTAAAATAGATCCTGTCAAACAACAAAGAAATCAGACGTTTTGCTTACCTGTATTAAGACGTTATCTATCGCTGTCTGCACCTCTAAGATAAGGCTGTAGCTGGCATCATCTCTATTTAATGTAAACTTGTCGTTTATACTAAAAGAAGGCACTGCTGACTTTGCTTTGCTTAACTGCGAGGACTGCTGGTACTTCTCTCTCTCCTGCAGGACCTTACACTGCAGCTGCTCCAGCTCACTCCTAGGGGAAAATGCACACAACTCTCACCTGCAAGTACGAACATCTGAGGTCCTTAGAGTGTTCATAAAAATCTGAGACATTTACTTCTCTGCAAAATGGATTATTTTTTAATCCTCACCTGAGGACGTATTTAGAGAAAAGGAGGAAGGGGGGAGGGGGAGGGAGATACAGTGGCGTGAGGGAGAAACACTGATCAGTTGCCTACCATATATGCGCCCCGACTGGGGAGAGAACCCATAACCTTTATGGTGTATGGGATGGTGCTCCAACCAACTAAGCCACCCAGGGCTGCAAAATTGATTTTTATTGGTTGAGCTAGAACTGTAACACTAACAGGAACAAAATTTTTGCTTCTAGGACTGACCAAGTGATTCCACATTATTTATCTCTAATCTAAAAATTAAGACATCTACTCAGTCCCATACCAGCTCTATTAATACAAAGTTGTAAGTCGGGTCTAAATAATTAATTCTAACACACCAATCTGGTCCCAGGTGCATATGGTACTAATCAGAGGAGACCCCGATTGTACCAGGGCACAGGAACACGAGACTTACGAAGAAACCAGTAACATGCACCTCTCAGTAAGACATCAGGGGAGACAGACAAAATAAGGAGGCTGTAAAGCTTTAACATTTGAGAAAAGACTCATTCGTCCCGGAAATAGTTACTGAGTGTGTCGTATGTGCCTATATGCCAGGTGCTGAGTGAACAGAGCAGACAGAGCTTCTCAGGAGCTGCATCAGGAGCGGAGACTTGGTTGAAAACATAAGATATTGTACGAGGATGTGAGCTAGTCAGCATTAACTCCACTTGCTATCCTTGTGGCATGGACACCAGAACTTGCTGCCCTGGTGGCTTTGGAGAAGCACGTGTGGGAACTGTGATGTGGCTCAGTGAACCAGAACACTTCTGTAACTCTCAACCACCACCAAAAAATACTGGCGCTCACTCCCCCAAGAGGTTGACAGGGGTTGGAGTAGGAAGAGCAGTTTCAGCACCTCCCACTGCCTCACTGTATGAAGCAATTTTACTTGAGTCCTCTGCAAAGGAACTGTCAAACTGAACAGGCCACAAAATCAATCCCTGTGTCTAAGGAAGTCACCATTACTCATTTCCAGTAAGAAAACATATAAGCCAAAGTTAGAGATTCAGAAAGGCCTGCAGGAGCAGTGAACATTAGAATTAATGAGGACAGAGCCATCTGTGTTAGCTGCTTTCTAACGCCTGTAAAAAACAAAACACTACAACTACCTACAACTAAACAAATAAAAATATATAATTCTTGATCTAAGAAAAAGTCAATATACAATAAAACATACAAAAAGTATATTTCTAACTCCAAAATATTAATCAGCACTTACTGCTAATTTTCTCAAGTTGATAAACTTTCATTTAAAAAAGTGATAAACAAATTAACTGTGTAATTCCTTCCAATAAATATACTGCATCTATAAGTAATAAGAAAACCACCACCACACACTTCATGAAATGAGAAAGAAAAAGGCAAACAGAAATCCAAAATTACCTTAAAGAAGAAATTTTATTCTGCATCTCCTGGTTAAGTCTGAATTCTTCGCCTGGCCCACTTTCCTTGTGAACAGGCTCTGTTGTCAGACCCGTCACCCAGCCTGCAGAGATGAATTGCAATCGTGCACCATTAAGCTCTGCACGTGTTAAAAGAAACCCAGTCTGCATGCCCTTTGTCCACCAACATAAACCTCACTCTTAGGATCTATTTCTCTTCAAAAACCAAACCAAAACAAAAATCCAAAGAAATTAAGCTGGAAAATTTTCATTTTGTGGTATTATTTTTGTGGTATTAAAATTTTCATTTTGTGGAAAATTAAGCATTTTGTCGTATTATTTTTGCTTTGCCTGAAATACTATTATATTATGATTAAGGAAATCTTTCATTTAATTTACAGTTTTAGTCTTCAAGTATGAAATAAGTCAATATATTCTAGCAAATGCAAAAATAGTTGATGAATTAAGAACTGTTTTTCAAGAGTTATTTTCATGTTAAGTTAAACTCTTGTATAATTATTGTGAGAATGCAAAAATGACCTACTCAAAAGCAAGCAAAATTTTATAAGAAATATATTTCTTATATTAATATATAAATAAAATATAAACTAAATTTCTTTTTAAACCACAGACTACCACTTAACTATTAAGGGTATTACTGATATGCCAAGCATTCTTAAAAAGTATTATTTAAATATTAACTGTTTTATAAATCAATATATCCTTACTTTTTTAACCAATAAAACTTTTAATGCTATAGATAAGAGTGACTTACATCATTCTTACAGACTACATCACCTGCAACCTATATACTTTTATTAACCAATGTCACCTCAGTATTCAATAAAAAAGTAAAAAAGATAAATAAAAATAAAAATAATTTTAAAAAGAGTGACTTACTAATAATATGTTTTTAAAAAAACGATTGTCAAAAGCAATTTACTAAATTGATGTTTTTTATTATCGGTTCTTTCTTTGACTCCCCATTACCATGTACCTCACCTGAATATGTGGCTACCACAATTTCATCATAGCCATCTTTCCCTACACAACCGCCCTGGATAGATGTGACACTTTCAGACAGCGCCTATAATAAATTTAAGATCAAGCATTTCATTAATAACTAAAAATTTCACAGATATGTTAAAATAAGCCACAAAACTTATTTCCTGTCTCCTTTATTCAACATATGTTTACTGAACACTTATTATATATAGACACTGAGAATGGAAAGGCAAAAACCCTGCACAAATGTCGGAAAATGCCAATGTTTTCAGATTTGGGGGAAGACTGAAAATGACTCTGGCCCTAGCTGGTTTGGCTCAGTGGTTAGAGTGTCGGCCCGCAGGCTGAAGGGTCCAGGGTTCGATTCTAGCCAAGGGCACGGACCTCAATTGCAGGCTGGATCTCTGGCCCCAACTGGGATCGTGCAGGAGGCAACTAACTGATGTTTCTCTCTCATGTCAATGTTTCTCTCTCTCTCCCTTCCACTCTCTCTGAAAAGCAATGGGAAAAATATCCTCGGGTGAGAGTTAAAAACAAAAACAAATGACTCACACATCTGTGTGTACCACTCAGCTACAAGTCATCTAATGAGCAACATTAATATAAAAAAGGTGTTTTAAAAATTGCATAAGCAAAACTCTCAAAACACTTATAATCTATTTTCTGAATGCCACAGACCATGTTTCATGTGCTTTATCCAAATAGTTTTTTAGATGAGTGAAAAATATGATAGAACCTATATAGAACCTTTGGGGAATTTGCAACTATGGAGAAAAAGCAAGTTTTTCAGAAGTTTGGGGTTTACATACCTTTTAAGCAATACTTTCCCAAATTTTCTGATAATAATCACTTGAGTGAGTCAAATAGCAATCTGTATTTTTAACCAGCACTCTAGGTCAGTGGCTTTTTTTCTTTAAATTTTTATTTATTGATTGGTTTTAGAGAGAGAGAGAAAAGGGAGGTGGGAGAGAGAGAGAAGGATTTGCTGTTCCACTTATTTATGCGTTCACTGGTTGATTCTTACATGTGCCCTGATTGGGAATCGAACCCACAACTTTGGCATATGGGGACAATGCTCTAACCAGCTGAGCTACCACCTGGCCAGGGTTAGGTGAGTGGCTTTTAAGCTATTTAGAAAGCGAGCAACATATTTATATTGCTAGCTAGTATATATTCACACATGGACATATACAACAGATATAACTTAAAAGGTTGGTGTTGCACTCTGACATATTCTAATCTATACTAATTCATTAAAAAAAAAAAAAAAATGTGTTGGCAACCCACTAAAAGGCTTTGTCCAGTAGTTTGAAAAATCCTGCTAGGTAATTCTTATCAGGAGAGCCTGAGAACCACTGTTTTAAGGGAGAAGGCGAAGGAAATGGACACTAGCATTAAAAATGCTAATGACTGCTGGGGTAGGTTGGGAGGGAATAAGTGGAGGAGGGATAGATATACGGGCGGGATAAATGGGGATGGACGGAGACCTGACTGGGGTGTTGAACACACAGCACAGTGTACAGATATGTGCTGGGGAATTGTACCTGAAACCTGTATAATTTTGTTAACCCGTGTCACCCCAATAAATTTAATAGAAAGTAAAAAAAAGTAAAATAAAATCCTAAAATAAATAAGTATAGCCAATTTTGAATTTTTAAAAAATCCTAGTTCCCTTCCTCCTTCCTAGAAGAGGCAAACCTGTGAGCTGTGTTACAAATCAGGCTCCCTCAGCCTTTCCTGAGACTAATTACCTGAGAGACTCGAGTTACAAAGGTTTGATTACAAGTCTGCATCAACTTAGGTTCAAAGGTGCACTGCTAAGCAGATCTCACATACACTGGAAGTCTTCTGAAAAAAAAGCCATGTGCCCCGTGTCCCTCCAATTTTTTTTAAAAAATATATCTTTATTGATTTCAGAGAGAGGAAGGGAGAGGGAGAGAGAGAGAAACATCAATGAGAGTCACTGATCGGCTGCCTCCTGCACGCCCCCAACTGGGGATCGAGCCCACAGCCCGGGCACGTGCCCCGAACGGTAATCGAACCGCGATCTCCTGGCTCCTAGGTTGATGCTCAACCGCTGAGCCACGCCAGGCCAGGCTTCCCATACATTTTTAAATTGTCTTTTTCGATTTTTCATCACAACTTTAAATAGTTACAAAGAAAGTAATTTCTGGAAGTTTTAAAGATAATCATTTTAAAACTGTCACATCCTTTAATCAAACCCAATGAATTCAAATACCAGGACAACTTTATATACACAATCACTGACTTAAAAAAATGGAAAAATAAATCCTTCTTTAACAGCTGGAAATTTGACTTTGTCCCGTGTTCTACTTGAACTCTTATTTTCATTCCATTTCCCCCACATACATTTATCTTAATGAAACATACTTGTACGCTTGAAATTTTTATACTTCTTGCAACCAAGAAACATAAATGAAATGTTTTATCTTCTGTGATCCTAAAGCTCTAAGTCTTAGGAATTTCTATCATTATAATCAGTATTACATAATTGACTGAAACGAGTATTACAAGATTTAGTAAATAATAATTGATACAAAAGCAAAATTCTACAGGAAATGTATCTGATGAGATGAATAAAACATTTTTCTTCCAAATTACTCATGTATCACAAGGAAAATTGTTTCTATATTGCTAGAATAAGGTTGGGTTCAACATCAGCTCTAGTCCTGTTTTTCATTTTCATAGATAGAAACATTAATTAAACTTAGTCACATAAAGATGTTGATGAGAATAAAAGAAATTTTGTTACAGAAAGTTTGCTCAATTGTTTAAACATCTTCCAAGTTACATACCTAAAATCACCAACTGATCTACCACCAAACATGATTTTTAATGACATATCATCTACAGACTAGGTCCTCCTTCAATTTATTGAAAGCAAACCACTGAAAACCATCTGACTTGTAGGAGGATGTCTTACCCAGTCAAGAGCCACATACTTTCTCACTTCTTGAGTGGTTTATCGGGTGACTATTAATTGTAACTTACTCTTTCCCTCATTTAGAGTACCTTAATTAACCCAATGTACTTAAAAAAGTTACAAAAATAAAAACCTGTTAACGTCTACATATTTTTGGCTAATACAGCATTTTTGAAATTCATTTATCTTATATACTTCAAGTATATATTTGTAAAAGTCTTAGAGTTGTAGATTTAGCTAATATTTTTAAAAAATCAATTTATATTTTTTAAAAATCAAATAAGGGTAAAGAGATGCTAGATAACACAGTAGAGATACAGCTTATGCAAATAACAACCCGGGAGGCCAGACAGGGAGGTAAACTCACAAAAGACCCTGCTCATTCCTCAAAATACTGACAAATGAATATATTATACGTTTAACTGAAAATATCATGTTTAAGGTATATATATATACATTTTTTCCCATTCTTTTTATGATTTGCTCCTTAACTTTTTTGATTAAACAAGCACTAGTCCAGACTGTGTCAGATCAGAGGATGCCTCCTGATCAGGAAAATAAAGGGAGTGACATTATGAATCCAAGATGAGGCAGCTTATTTGCAGCTTAACCTACGCTGAGACCAGCACTTGTGTCCTTAGATGAACAGGAGAAAGGGGAGAGAGAGGATTTCCTAGGGCCATACCCAGCAGAGGAGGGAAATGCTGTGTCATTACTGGAGTCTGAAACAGAAGTCTAGGAGGAGACTTAGGGTTCAAATACAAAAATGTCTCAGGGTTGAAGAGAAAAAAACAGGACATCAACAACAAAGAATTATTATGTATTTTTAAGCCTAAACTATTTTTTGCATCATTAGCAAGAGGACTTCTTATACCAAGTGAGATGAAGAAATATGAAATAAATCTAGAATATAAGTTGTATAATACTTTTATCCTCATATTACCTATCTAGCATACTTATCTATACACCAAAACATCTGTATTTGCTGATCTGCAGTTCAAGCTGAGCCTGGGAGGTACCACTGTCAGAGAAATTAGACTAAAGGAGAAAAGTTGATGCTGAGTTGGGGCACGCGGCAGGATGGGGAAGCCTGGACTGAGACCACTACTTCGCAAACATGAAAGATTCAGGTTATGCCAGAACGCTTCCCCATGTGGCTTTGTACCAGGGATAAACAAGCTTAACTACATTTAAAATTTGTGAACTACAAATTACTCTTCCCTAGCATTTCTCCTTCTACAGTGGACTCCTGGGTAAATAGAAGTGAAATTGCTAACAACATGAAGCTTATCCCCCATTACTTTACGATAGCAATTTTCAACCAGGACGCCACAAGAATTTTTAAAGCATGCAGTACCTGACCAGTCAAGGGCACTGACCTTTTCCCCCTTAAGACTGTTAAATAAAATAAAAAAGACAACAGCCAACATAATAACAGCCGTCTAGTATGAATGAATCAAAATTAGACCTATTTTTTGTCAGAGCAGCAAAAAAAATGTATTTTTTGGCATGCTGCAGAATTTTAGTAGTTTATGTGCCATGAGATGGAAAAGGCTGAAAATCGCTGCTTTACAAGAGCCTCATTTATGTTACCCGAACATACGTTACTCCTGTAATCTATTTTGCATTATAGAAACTAAGGCAAAATATTTAATACTTAGATATGAGGAAGTACTCATTCAGCTTGAAGGCAACAGTCTATTATATATTCAACCACGAGAGTAGTCTAGAGAAGATTGATAGCATCAAAGCAGCAATATTTTAAGCCAAACACAAGATTATAATAATTTCATTTAATAAAACATCAGTCACCTCTGTAATTATTTGATTAATAATAAGCACATAGTCTTTGAAAAACTGAACTTACTTGATCAAAGCGTAGAACAGGCTCATTTGCGTTATCAAAACCATACACTTCCACCGTTCCATCATCTCTCCCAACAAGTAAATCTTGAACCCCGTCACCCACAATGTCAAAGCTGTCGACACACAAAATACCTTTAAAGAAATAAGTGGTAAGTTAATAATGCTAACATCATAGCAAGTATATACCAAGTAAGAATAAAAAAATCAGCATGCGGGAGAAAAATCAACAAACCCCTTGAGTACAGTCAGGTGTCCCCTTCTTTCCCATGCACATTCAGCCACCTCCAAGGCTTTAACTAGGATCGACATGGTGAGGACCCCCAAGCCTCTGTCTCCGGGTCTGGCCTCTCCCCAGAGCTCGGGGCCCATTCAGCAAAGTCCCTATTGAGCCTTTTCTCTGAGACCTCATGGGCACCTCAGGCTTCCCGCGCCGCCCCTCCAGGCCTCCTCCCCGCCTGGCACCACCTGGCCATTCAGTGCCGATCCAGACCGCTCCACTCCAGGTTCCTCTCGGTCTCACTTCCACATCACACCCACGAGCCAGTCCTATGAACTCTGCCTCCAGCTTCCCACTAGCCTCATCCAGGCTACTGGTATCTCGAGCCCACACCAGGAGAAATGATAACAACTGCAACGATAATTTCCTGACTTCTGTGCTTCCAATTTTGACCTGCTTCCTTCAAAATCCATTCTCGGGGGAGTGTTTTTTGTGTGTTTTGGTAAATTAGATCATGCCACACCCCCACTTATAACTCCAGGGACTTCGAGGCTGCCGAGGACCTCCACGATTTGGCCCTGCCCTGGCCCCCCCTCTGATTTTATCTCAGGCCAGTCACCCTTGTCTTCTGCTTTTCAAATGAATCATGTTTGCCTCTGCCTCAAGTCCTTTGCCCTTATTTTTCCCTCTTCCTGGAACATTCTTTCCCCCCAAATCTTTACATTACTCTTTTTTCTTGTCAATCAGATCTGAGCTCAAATTTCACCTCTAGTAAGATGCAGGCCATGGCCACCCACCGAGGCTAAAAGAAGCACTCCCCCCCCCATCATTCTGTCAGATTTCCCTCAGGCTGAAGCTGCCTTATTTACTCCCTTGTTTACTCTCTGTCTCCCTAACAAGTAAGTATTTGTTGAAGGAATAAATGTAGGAATGAACATGCTCTCCTTATAAGCAACCATCTCACTACCTGCCAAGTCGGATATAAATTAGCTTTAGGAAAGTTTATATTGAGGAAACAGGAATCATTCCGACCCATCGCACGCCTTCCTTGCTTCAGACCAAGTCCTCTCAAATTCTAATTAATTCCCCACACCAACCATGAAAAGTGGATTTGAGCACAGAATGACATTATAGATGGACATGAGCCCAAAGAGCCTATCACAAAGTACAATTAGCATGTCTTATTTTTTAAAATTATGCCAAAAATACGGCAGACCTGATAAACAAATAAATGGTAAATATAACTGAGGTGGCTCCACGAATTGCCAAGTCTGCCAGATACATACTATGAATGAATAATATGATCTATAACTATTTAATCTAGAATGAACTAAATTTCAGAATCTGAACGACATCAAAAACATACCTCCCCTCTTCTTCTCATTCCGAATTTCCCACTTGTGTCTTGGCTTGGATGGTGTGATCTGAATGAGCCCGAGTTTTCCATCTGATGTTCCAAACAAAAGGTCTTCTCCAGAGTCACCTAGTCATAATTAAAGTCAACATGTTTATCCCACAACTCATCTCTTTAAAATTAAAATACTTTCATATAGACTTTCATGTAAATGTCTCATTTAAAAAATAATATACAAAGACAGAAAACTTAATTTGGGAAGATGGTTATATATTCAGATAATTTTATAACCATTAAACATAAGACTCTTCCTTATCATCTAATTTTAAGATGAGAAAACTCAAAATTAAGTTCAGTAACTCATTACGGTTGGTGACCGGCAAGTTGTCAGACAACAACCGTCTCAATTCCAGCTCATGTTCCTTCTACAAGTTCCCATTTTCACTTCATATATAAATGCTTAAGAACCTGAAATATCCTGACTTCACATAATGCACCCCCTTATTTGACTGTGGAAAAATGAAATGCTGATTACCGCCGTTTCCATTGTGTAGTGCTAAGACGGTAGGTGGGCCAGGAACTTCGATTTCATATATCACATCCGATCCCTGAAGGAGAACAAATATTTAAAATAAATAGAATACAATTTTTTTTTTAAAGGACCTTTTTCCTTTTCTTTTAAATCCTTTGAGGTTCCTTTTTTTAAATAGATTTTTAGAGAGAGGAAGGGAGAGAGAAACATCAACTGATTGCCTCCTGTATGTGTGCTGACCAGGATGGACCCTGCAGCGTAGGTATGTGCCCTGACCTGGAATTGAACCCGCAACCTTTTGCTGTACGGGATGACGCTCCAACCAACTGAGCCAGAATACAAATGTAAAAGAATGTAGGCACTCAGAGATAACATCAATGTTCATATAAAGAACTCTAGAATAAAACTACAGAAAAAATTAGGTCACGAATATTAACTTGCATTGGTTAGCAATTTTGCATGTGTTAACTCATTTTAAACTAAACTATATATAAAGTATAAAAATCAAGAAGACAAATATTTAAAATATCTTCCATTCTCAATGCTTTTCATTTTAAATACTCTGTCTGAAAACCTAACACTGGTCACTTTTCCTAACAAAACTCTCCAGAAACATGTTTTGCTTCTGTCCTTTAACATAGAGCACATTCAAACATGTAAACAGACCCAAAGTTACTTACTAAGAAAAGTTCTGGCCTTGCCTTTGGGTATTTCCAAAACCCACTCCAGTAAGAAGCAGGATGACCTACTATTTAGATAAGGAAACAAGTTAGGTCTTTTTGTCTTTTTTTCAGTTTTGCCACTTGTAATGCTTTCATTTAGTGCACAGTATTTGTGAAACTGTCAAGAATGAGGCAGATGTACTCATACTCACATGGAAAGAACATCCATGACAAAGCATTCAATGAAAAGAATTTGTAAAATTACAGTAAAAAAATTAAATACAGAGCACACGAGAGAGCCATGTGCTTTATCTTTTATTTAAAATAACACTTAAAAATTTACAAATACCTACATAGAACTATATAAACATAAAAGAATACACACAAGACTGTTTTTAAAAGGCTGCCTCTGGACCGGCTGGTGTGGCTCAGTGGTTGAGTGTTGACCCATGAAACGAGGTCACTGGTTGGATTCCCAGTCAGGGCACATGCCCAGGTTGGGGGTGCGATCCCCAGGAGGGGGCGTGCAGGAGGCAGCCAATCAATGTTGATGTTTCTCTCTCATCGATGTTTTTCTCTCTCTTCCTCCTTATTCCTCTCTCTCTAAAATCAATAAAAACATGTTTTTTAAAAAAGGCTGCCTCTGGGGCAGCAGACTGACTAGCAAGGCAGATGGGGAGCAGGGAGAAGTGTGCAGGGCACAGAAAAGATTGCAACTGTTTGTTTTTAACAAACCCTTGGTGACTTTTTTTTTTTACAATAAGCATATGGACCTCTTCTTGTTAACAAAGCAGAATCCTAGAATTCAGCCCCATCAATCTCTAACTGAATGCTAGCCAGCTCCTGTTAAAAGCCTTATTCAAACAACTCGTATTTGCTGTATTTGGGAGCACAGGCAAGGGGAGAAATTAATCATTTTTGCCTCTAGAATAAACCTTAAACATTACTTTAACTCACCTTAGGGGGAAAAAAAACAAACCTCATAGAACCACTGGAGTTTTCCTTTTATAAAAGAGCTAATGCCAAGAAATGACCATCTGGGTATGAAATTCCAAAGAGTGAGACAGCCAGTGGTGGCATGGAATAAACAGCTAGACTTTTGTTCAACTGCACTATCATCGGCCTAAATTTCTGAACCAACTAATCCACTTGTTGTATGTTACTTGCACTTAAATTTATTTTATGGATCCTGGTGTGTATATTTTAATGAAAAGTTAGTTTCAAGAAGACATAGTTATAACCATTATTACTAATAACAATGGCTGTAAGAGGTTGTTTTAGCCAATTATGGTTTTTAATTTTTCCCTCTATCACTCACTTCCTTATCTAACTAATATTTACTAAAAGCTTATTCTGTTCCACATAATGTCATAAACGGTGGGTAAACTCAATGATAAAACCCTGATCTCAACTATCCCTTGTTAAAACCCAACAACCTTTTCCCAAATTTTCTCTTTTAATTTCATTTGTTGGGAGAGGGGAGGGTGATGGAAAAAGAAAACAAAAAAGAAAAAAGAAAGAAAAAGAAAAGCTGGGAAGGGTTCTGTGTAGTTAAGGTACTCCATTCTGATAGTATTAGCTCAAAAATCATGCAGGTGGGGAAAATTATCCTTTTTTCCATATATGCCTCTCTAAAAACTTGCCAAAGATCTGAACACATTTATTTACCTCAAGTAAAAAAATTCTGTTATCAATTAAAATATTTTTTAAAAGTTTTCAGATATAATTTTAAGTAGGGCATTTAAAGTGGTAGTAATCATTAAAATGATATACCTCAAGTAGCCACTGTTCATCAATATTCATTTACCTAAATTGTGAAAAATTATAAAAATGCAAATAATAGCAACCTGTAAAACTCTGAGAAGTCTGTCCTGGCAGGCCAATACCGGGGTAATACGAGGTAATCTTTCCACTGGAAGGCAGATGACATCATTGATTTTGTCCCCAGAGAGGTAATAATGTTGGTCTTTGCAGTCACAATAATGGTTATAGATGTAACTTGCACTGAGAAAGAGGTCTGAGCCGGATATGTGCCTGAAGACAGTAAAAGTACTTTAACACATCCAGATTTTAAAATATAAGCATAAAAAACTAAAATTTTTTCAGAGGTGAAAATAAAAGTTTATTTATACAGTTTTACTATCATTTTATCACAGACTTGAATGGTTTTTTGTTTTGTTTTGTTTTGTTTTGATCTCCTGCCTCTTAATTTCCAGCTTTTTGGTATAACACTGATTTTGATAGCTGAAAATAAGGATCTTAACGCCTCAGCCTTCTCAAAACTTGAAGTCAGAAAAACTGGAAACAAAGACAATGATAATTGTCTATATCTAAAAATCAAATAATATGTCAGAAAGTAACTGCTTTGAATATGTACTATGTGCCAACCCTGTCCTAAGTGACATATCTATCAGCTCAAACCTCAGAACTCTATAAACTAAGGACCATTTTCAACCCTTTTTACAGGTGAATAATAAAATGTTAAGTAACTTGCCTAATGGCATGTAACTAGTAAGACAGTGGAGTGGACTGCAACTCAGGTAGTTTTAACTTGGGTTAACTTTCTTACTACGACACTGTATTCACTAGAAAGGCTATTTGAAGCAAATCTACTTTAAATGATAAACAGAGGAAAAAAATGCCTTCATTAGAATTTTATCTTGAAAAAATAAATGAAAACAAGTTCATTTCAAATTATATTTAATACAATTTAGGCAATAATCACAACTGTGTCCTAAATCGTAAGACTGAATCCAGTTTCAAATGGAGGAGCTGAAGGTTTTTGACAAAAAATATAGGCTAGTGTATACCTTTCACTTCTAATTGCTACTACCATGTTATCATAGACTACTGTGGTTTTATTGGAAGGTTTCACCTATTTCTCCACCTCTAAGGTATATTTAAAATTTTTTTTTTATACTAAAATTATTCCTTATGCTATAATGATCCTCATTAATTTTCTCTTCTTTAATTATTGTTCAGGTGGCCTTACTCTGTGACTGATATTATTTCACAATATCATTTCTATCAACCTAATGAAATTCCCTATCTTTTTTCATAGTTGGAAATTTCATTTTGAAACCCATCTGCATTATATTTGCATTACACTGTCCAAAGTACTACTTGGCAATCACTATTGTTGACACAGATGTGAGACAGATGGGAACTTTAAGCCAGGAAGGATGTGTAAGTGGTAATCACTTTTATAAGTGTCAATTTCCTTATTGAATATTTTCAAGTTATAACCTTGTTTTCTTAGGCAACCTTATAAAAATGTGGAGATACAGGTAATTTTTCAAAAATTAAGTACATAACATTTTCATACCACCTCTGCCACTCCAGTAAAAACATTTTAAAACCTAGACTCCTAGTTGCAAATAGTCATGGATATGTAAAGTACAGCACAGGGAACATAGTCTATGTAATATTGCAATAACTATGTGTGGTGCCAGGTGGCTATTGGAAATACCGGGAGACACACACACACACTTTGTAAACTATATAACTGTCTAACCACTATGATATGTACCTGAAACTAACACAAAATAATACTGAATGTAAACTGTAATTGAAAAATAAAACACTAGACTCCTTATCTTCCCAACTCTGCCCACATGCCTTTCTAAATGTGGAGGTATGCTAATAGTTACTTTATTACTTTGATTTTAGTATTTCACAGTTCTCATTGGTCACATCTATCTACAAAAGCATTTCAAAAGTATACTTTTGCTAAAGCACTGAAAGTACTTCCAGTTGCCATCGTTTAACTCTTATCTAATCTCCCCAAGCTCAAGCTTTCCAGCCCAGACATCAGGGCATGTGTGTGCATGAAACAGAGAGCTGTGCATACACAGAACTCTGCACTGAATCAGTAGTTTCCAAAAGGAGGTCTGGATGCTTATACAATGTGGCTGAATCAGATTCAGATGAAGAACTTTTTTCCTTTAACCCATTCCTAGTAATTCTGATTCTGCGGGTACAATGTAGGACAAGGAGTCTACTGATTCAAGCTTCCAAGGGGTTCTCCTAAGTACCAGGTTTGAGGAACAGTAGATGAGATGAACTTTAAGGCCCTTCCCAGCCCGTGATTCAAAAACTAAATTTTTAATTGCATGATTTCCCATTTCAGGAAGCCATTAAGAGGGGCTATTTTCACTTAGAGTCTTACCTGACTAGCCTGAAGTTATACCCTATTGGTGGTCACCAACTTTGACGGCTAGCCTTCTAAGAAAATGTTGCTGCCTTGAAACCAGAACTTCCAGAGACAACAAAGAAACTGAAACTTAAATATCTAGGGATTTCTTTCACTTTTTTCTTTTATACCTTGATCGTAAATCATAATTGAACCAACCAGTCAAAAATAAACATATAAATACTATAAATGTCTTAACAAGAAAACATTTTAACAATCAATTTTATATTGATTCTAGGTAAAATTTAATTTCTGACTAATAAAATACCTTTAGTAAATTTTATTTCCCAGAAAACCCGTTACGATTTGATAATCAAATATTTGTCACCTTTCCAAAATATTGTTGTATATATAGAAAAATAAAAAGGAAATAAACATACATAGCTTTAATGCTTTCAGTGAGGTTTGTTTCAAAAGAGAGGAACTGTTTTCCTCTTTTTGTGAAACCTCGAATCTCAGATCCTGCAGCAATAAAAATTTTCTCCTGGGGCGTGTTAAGAACCCCTCCTAGTTCCAGTCTTGCAATCTTCTGCCCTGGTAAAGTCTTGAACACTGCCTGCAAAAATCATCGGAGAAAAAATTAAGTAGACAGCTATTGTAAGCATTTTCCTTTACTGTAAAAATGCTGGGATTTTAAACTTACAGAAATATTAGTTCTACTATATAGAAATACTTTTAGATACAAATGTATTTACTTCAGTAGGTCTCCTGGGTTTTTTGCTAAATATCTTCAAACTTTGGAATACTTATTCCCACATGTTTCAGGGACATCATTAAAATCTAAAACCTTGCAAATCAAAGTAGAGCTCACTAAGCAACAGTATTACATCACTAACTGAAAAAAATGCATAATCTCAGGCCCAAGCACCGATCTACAGAATGAGAATCTGCATTTTCACAAGATTCTCCAATGGACATGTTTTTACACTTGAATCATCTTTTAAAAACTAATCTCTCCTGGTTTCTTTATAATTTTTAGAAACTTCAGTAGTATAAATAACTATATAATTTACTGGAAAGCTTAACTTACTGTTTCTCTATTTAATGGGAAACAACATTTGTATCAATTTCTTCCTGCTTATTTCCCATTTTATTATTGACATCAGATTATACACAGAGAACAAACTGAGAGGATATATGAAGGAAATACTGAGTTTCTGAAAGCTTTCACCCTCTTTACCTTTTTGTAAATTCCATATAAAGTATAATGAGTATAAGAGTTCCCATCTCAAACCCATCACTTGTAAATTATGATCTGTGGATATGATGATGTAATCATCGCTTCCCTGATCAGGTTACATGAAGCAGCAAAAGTGATGCTTCCAGGTTGCACTATGTTATGTAAGACTCCATCTTAGAGGCTTGACAATTTTCCTGCTGGTCTGAGCAGTAAGGTCACCATGTTGTGAGAGAGCCTGGCAGAGGACCACACACAGCAAGGAACAGTGAGGGGGCCTCCAGATGCTGAGAGCAGACCCTGGATTGCAGAGAGCAACAAAGTGGGGACCTCAGTCCTACAATAGCAAGGAAACGAATTCTGCTGACAACCACGTGAACCTGGAATAGGACTCCGAGCTCCAGAAAGGAACAGAGCCTGGCTGACATCTATATTGCTGCCATGTGAAACTTTGAGCCAGACTCCTGACCCACAGAAACTGTGAAATAATGAATGCGTGTTGTTTTAAGCCCCTAAGTTTGAGGTGATTTGTTACAAAGCACAGAAAACTAATAAATCACCCTGGGCTGCCAAAGATGTTTTACAAATAGCTGACAAATGACTCTTGTGCTTTCTGGAGCTTCATACTTCATATAACTATTTCCCTCACAACCCATTTCTCATTGTATTTTAGAAAAATTTTAACCTAGGATTATTCAATAAGTAGCATTTCTCTTTTAGAAATTCCTTTTATCCCCTAAAGAAAAAGCTATACATACCACTGCTTCTCCTTTCTTCATGCCAAAGCACAAAACTACCCCATCATGATCTCCAATAACCACCTGTAACAGATTGAAGAGAATCTAAAATTATTATTATACCCTAATAACTATATATGGAGAAAACGATATTCTCAATATATAAATTATAATTTTAAAAGCAGAAATCAGAAAATCTAAGACACCCCCACAAAAACTAATCCTCCAAAGAATTACAGAGAAAGGCCAAAGAGAAGGTCATGGAGAGTTGTGGAAGTAGCTGGCCATATATGCTGTTCCTACCACATAACCAGAGCAAGGAAACAGGGACAGAAACGGCAGGGAGGTAATTTTTTTTCTTAACTGGAGCATAAGAATATTTTGTTTTTTAACCTTCACCCCAGGATATTTCCCCCTGCTTTTCAGAGAGAATGGAAGGGAGAGAGGGGGAGAGAAACACTGATGTGAGAGAGACTCATCGATTGGCTGCCTCCGGCAAGTGGGCCAACTGGGGCCGGGCCTGCAACTGAGGTGCATGCTCCTGACTGGACTCGAACCCAGGGCCTTTCAGTCCAAGGGCCAACGCTCCAGCCACTGAGCCAAACTGGCTAGGGTGGAGCATAAGAACATTTTAAGATTAACTTTAAAAACATTACCAAATAAGGTTGTGATTGACTGATTTGATATTTTAAACCTGTTTAATGGAAAAATTTTAACATAAGCAAAAGTAGACAGAATATTATAATGAATTCCCACGTGTCCATCACCCAGCTTCAATAATTACGCATTATCTGATGTGGCCAATGAATTACTCTAAAGTAAATAGGGAGGGAGACTTTAATATCTCTTCTTCAGAAATTGCTAATCAAGAAGACAAAAGGTAAGAAACAGATTAGAAAAACAATTACATTTGATCTAATATATATGCATATATAAGGTGCCCCCCCAAAATGTATACACACACTTTGAATAACTATAAAGGCAGTGTTTATTAAAATACATTTCATTTTCAAAATTGAACTATCAGCTGTTAAAGTGATTTTTTTGGGGACACTCTGTATTGATATATGTAGGAGTGTGTGTGTGTGTGTGTGTGTGTGTGTGTAAATTAATAAATAAGTCACTCATCCCAAGAATCAAAGTATGAATGTTCTTTTCAAGCAAAATGGAACATTAAAAAATTGGCCAAGTATTAGGATATAAAATAAGTCTCAAATATAAAAATGTTAATATCGTGCAGACTTTGTTCTTAGGGTGCTGATTCTTAACTTTCTAGGGGGAATCACAAACAACTTTCTGTATCTGATGAAAGTTGTTGACTTTCTCCCTGGAACAATAAGCATTTACAAATAATTATGTTCACACTTTCAGATTCATGGATCTTTGAAAAGATGAAAAATACATAGTTAAGGTTTTGATTTTTTGACAATACACTACTCCAATAACTTGTAAAACAATCTATTACAGGGATTCCCAAAGTGTGGTTCCTAGACAGATGGAAATTAAAGAAGACTTCTTTGGGAATCTGCGCAGTCAATGCTAATTTTGTAAGTAAGCCTTTATTTTCCTTTTCGCTAGGTGATATTTGCAATGATGGTACAGAAGTACTGATGGGCAAAATTACCAGTGTCTGATAAACAAAACAATGATCCCAAACTATCAGTAATCTGTAACCTTCATCACCACTTGAGAGTTAAGGACATAAAATCCAGTTTCATGTAAGGATGTCCTTGATGAAGCAATACAAACTTTTAATCTTATTAAATCCTGACTCTTGAATACATGTCTTTTTAATATTTAGTATGAGAAAATAGGAAGTATGCATTAAGCACTTCTGCTGCGGAAAAGCATTTGTATCATTGTTTGAGTTATGAGCTGAACTATCCACTTTTTTCAAGAAACACTATTTTTAAAAATGAAGGAACAACCAACAACTGTTGTTATTAACACGTGGGTATTTTGTGGACTTTTTTTAAATGGAAGGAAGTGAACTTGTTATTTCAAAGGAAAACAAATGACCATATTTGCTAATATGGTAAAGTTTGAGCTTTCAAGGTGAATATCAGTACTTTGGAAGGCTTGTACCTGCCACAGTGAGACTGACAGCTTCATAATACTTAAACTTTTCGATGAGACTAGCAGTGACATTAACAAATGTGGTATGTTTGATACTCTATAATAAAATGCATCAACATTTGGAAAATCTGTAGAACTCGAATGAACCAATACGGTCAAATGACCATCAGAGGATGCTATAAATCCATGCATGAGTAAAATATCCATACAAAGTACAAGATAGACCAATGGATTTTAATGTGTCAAAGTATAAAAAGTTAATCAATATGGTGTGAGATTCCATTGAGCACCTAATGTTTAAGAAACTACTACTTGTCAAATATAGGTGTAGCATCAAATATGAAGAGCAATAATTATCTGGAAAATCTAGTTAAATATCCCTCCCTATTTTCAACTATGTATCTGTGTAAGCTAGATTTTCATGTACTTCAACGACCCCAAATATCACAGCAGCCCACCATAAGAATCCAGGTAACCCTGCTTGTACCTGACTAAAGAATTTGCAAAATGTAGCACAATGCCACTATTCCCACTGAATTCTTTGGTTTTGAAAACAGTTATTTCTCATAAAAATGCTATTTATGTAAACATGTAACAGGCCTAATATTTTTTAAAATGGTGTAATAGCCCCAGTCTGTTTTGCTCAGTGGTTAAAGTGTCAGCCTGTGGACTTAAGGGTTCTGAGTTCAATTCTGACCAAGGGCATGTACCTCACAGGCTCGATGCCAGGCCCTGGTTGGGGAGCGTGTGGAGGGCAACCAAGCGATGGGTCTCTCTCACGTCAATGTTTCTCTCCCTCTCTCTCTCTCCCTTCCACTCTCTCTGAAAAACAATGGGGAAAAAATATATATCCTCAGGTGGGGATTAAAATAGTGTAAAAAATATTTTAAACATTTCTTAGTTTGAATTTTGATATAGTAAGTATTGATAGGCATAACTATATAAACAAAAGTTACTTGGGATTCTCAATAATTTAATTGTGTAAAAGGGTCCTAAGACCTAAAGGTTTGAGATGATCTTATCTAGTAGACTGAATATAATAAATGACAACCAGAATTCTGTTGATTTATCTTGACAAATGTTAATGTATCAGGATACTGTATTTACTTGGCAGCTATCAAAATATCCTACTAGTCTACTGAGAAATTATAATTGTCTTAGGGACATCATAACTGTCTTGTGTCATAGGATCAATGTTTCTACAAAAATCAATATTGTTAAATATAAAGCTCAACATCAAAATAATTACTCTTAAAAATATGATGAAGTTTCAAAAATGCAATTTCTCTATATTCAATTGTTTTACATTTCTTTTTTCATATACACAACCTGGTGCACACAAGTATACACAGTAAATTATTTCAAAAAAATGGAATATGGTTTTAATAAGTTTGCCTATACTATTTACTAACTGTACATAATAATTATAATATCCAAGGAAATTACTGTTTGTAAATGTTCCTTGGTACTCCAACCTCTGTTCAAATTGAAGAACTTCACTTCCATTTTAACAGCATTTTAAAAAGTAATTTACCAATAAAGAAGGAAACATAAACTCCTCCTCTGCCAGAGCTAAGGAGATGTGCAGAAATCAAATCTCTACAGTACCTTCTGTGTAGCTCTATGTCTGGAGGCAGGAAGCAGCTTCATGGTCTTCTGAGAGGTCACTCCCACCTATGGAAACACAGCATCATCTGGTGGATGCTCTCTCACAACTGTAATCTGAGTCACTACATCAGATTAGCAGGACCAGCAGATTCAGATCACAGTGAGTTTTATTTTTCATTGCAGTACTTGTGATACAAAGTAATTATTACTATCAGTGATGAACTTACCTAATGAAATATGCCACAAAATATCGGAAGACGGTAAACAACCCAAAACAGTATAATTTACACTTGTAGAAACTTATGTTGTCAAGTCAAAAAACCCTGTGACATTACTGACAAAGATACTTCATGAGAAAAAAAAAAAAAAAACTTCTAGAGGCCTTCTTTTACAAGTTCATACAGTTGTTAAAGACTTTTTGTAAAACGATTTAAAAATCTTTGGAAACAGTAATTATTAAAAATGCAACAAACAAGATTTTTGCTAAAACACCAAAGATCTTGACGGCAATGTCGTCCAATAAAACTGATGCTGAAGATGATTCTACAAAAGGTACAGAAGATGGAAACAACAGGAACAGTCACTAGCCCCGCACAGAGAGCTACTGGAGGAAGATGGGAGACAAGCTAGAGAAAGCAACCAATCATGGAAGAATTTACATACGGTGCAAATCTATAATGTTATTCCGCATGCCAGGGAGGGGGTATTCAAGTTCAAAAGAATGTTCTTGGATTTGGATTTTGAAACGTCAGTCTAGGAAGGGACGTGAAGGGCGGCCTGGAGGCTGGGAGCCCAATTAGGAGGCCGTTTTAAAGATCCGAGCCACGACGGGCAATGGACACGGGGAAACGGGAGGGATCCAAGAGGCTTTTAGACCGGCGCAGCCAGACCAGAGCTAGGTGCCGAGCGCTCAGCGAGCTCCCAGCGCGGCCGCCGCGAGGACGCGCGCACCA